ATATATATATATAGAGAGAGAGAGAGAGGATATTACACGGTGGCGAGAAGATATGAATTTTATGTTCGAGTGGCAAGAACAATATCTCACGAGTGAGCGAAGCGAACGAGTGAGATATTGTTCTNGAGAGAGAGGATATTACACGGTGGCGAGAAGATATGAATTTTATGTTCGAGTGGCAAGAACAATATCTCACGAGTGAGCGAAGCGAACGAGTGAGATATTGTTCTTGCCACGAGAACATAAAATTTTATATCTTCGAGCCAACGTGTAATGTTCTTTTTATTATATGGAGACTAAATATTGAATATTTCCGATTTTATTGTGATTCAAAGTAGGAAAGGTTTACAAATACGGCTGGGCTTTATAGCAAACAGAAAATACAAAAGTACTTGGTGCCAAGTATATAGAAACACTAAACCCAATCAAGCAAAATTCTGTGAGCTAATATTATACGTAAATACTGAAAAAAATTATTGACTTTGACTTGAATCATCAGATACAGTGATTTTCAGTTTCTTTTCATAACGAATCTTTGAAGGCTTTTACCGTTGCGATTTGGCAATTTTGAAATAAACTTCCCGATGCTGTTTCTTGTCGGATAAAGATGAGTAGTGGTTTAAAGAGTTAACGTTTTTATGTCCGGTGATCTGAATGATTTCGTTTGGCGGTATGTCATTAACAACCAGCTTCTGAACCAAATGCTTTCTTGTGCTGTGATTTACAAGTTCTTTATCTGTTTCTAGGCCCGAATCTCTTATCATGTTCTTGAGCATGCTTCTCAAGGAGTTGACTCCAAGCGGAGAGCATTTGAACCACATTTGACCAGGTTTCGGGTTTTCGTTATTACCCTTAAGATGGAAAGGAGATTCATCGGTCATCATGCTTGTGGGCCGGTGCTCTTTGTAAGCCAAGTAGGTGTTGACGGGGCAGCGATCTGCGTTACTCTTGTCTTCGTACATTTTAGGTTTTTTTCTCTCTAATATTCCGAGGGTTTTCGCCGGTACGCGTTCGACTCAGACCTCAAAAGGGCGTGGCATTATAACCACGTGACATTTACTCCGATCCCCCAAAATTTTATGTTATATTGTAGATTGATCTATATCTTATCTATTCTATGTGTTAGACTTACGATAAAACTAAACGTGGGATACCAGAGAGCTTCAAAGTAGGATGGTACCACCCAAAAAAAACTGGGTCGAGTCACCTTAAACTGTGTTTAACTGTAAGGTGTCAGAATAAATGAAAACTTGACGGACAGTCTGCTAGTTTGGTAGACACTAGTGCAGAAACCGGAAACGGGTTTTGAGAAAGTCTATTAGTTTGGTAGCAGTGTTGCGTTTATTCTTTACACGGCACCCTGTCGACGATTATTTCTCTTTTTTTACAAGGAGAAACATTCTTTCCCCACTCTGTTATAGCCACTTCAGAAGTGAAGTTTTTTATACAGCCTTTTAATAAACTGGTTGCAAAAAAAGTTGACTTAAAATTAAACTCCTTAGGCGAGCTGCGAACATTCATAACTTGTCGTTGAATCTCGTATCCGTCATATTTCTTCTCAGTAGCTATATAAATTTTGTTATTTTCACCTGCCCTTTTCCTGTTGAGTTATGGGCACGAACGCCCACCGGAAGAGGAACAAACATGACGACTATAATTTACCATCATCCTATTCTCTATTTTTGCTATAAAATGAACACTCTAAGGCGAATTCATGTTAGACGAGCTTAACGTAACAAGAAATGTAAAAAACTTTATCAAGAGGGTACCAGATGCTTGGTAAGTTTCAAAACGATTAGATGAGCCCGAGCCTAATATATTTCTTTTTAAGCCTGATATTTCTTTAAAACAATAAACAAAAAACAAAAAAACATCCGCTGCTGCAATTATGAATTAATTTGGGACTTGTGTTGGTGGCAAAAAATAATAACAGAGAAGTTTAATAACTTAAGACCATTAATGAAGATTAAAACATCTTTTTTAATAACATACACGATGCACCTCAGTCGAATAATTGCTGGTTAAGTTCAAAAAACCTAGTTCATAAAGATAATGCAAAGGCTGGAAAGTAATAATTAATAAGCGTCTTTATTATTGAAATCGAAACGGCTAAACTTCACATCCAATTGCGTTGGCCAACCCACATTCTAAATATTAATGCAGGAATAAATAGATATACATGAAGCGGTTCAATCAGAATGTCTCTTTATCACCAGTTCCTTAAGGCACTTGTGCTCGTTTAAAACCCTAAGACCAATTTGAATTATATCTATAAAGTAAAAACCCGGACGACGGCGATGAGACAAGCGAGAGAACGTGAACGAGAACGAAGTCGAGGGGATTATTCAACAATATTAACTGTTGAGCCTGAGATATTAATATTAACTGAGCCTGAAAGCGTTCTCTCGCTTGTCTTATTGCCGTCGTCCGGGTTTTTACTTTATAGATATGATTCAAATTGGTCTTTGGATTTTGAACGAGCACAAGTGCCCTTAAGGAACTCTTGATAAAGAGACACGAACTCCGGTTGAACCGCTTCATAAACTTCTGATGTATATCTATTCATTCCTACATTAATATTTAGAATGTGGGTTGGCCAACGCAATTGGATGTGAAGTTTAGCCGTTTCGATTTCAAAGATAAGGACGCTTATTAATTATTAGTTTCCAGCCTTTGCATTATCTTTATGAACTAGATTTTTTGAACTTAACCAGCAATTATTCGACCAGGTGCGTCGTGCATGTTATTCAAAAAGATGTTTTAATCTTCATTAATGGTCTTAAGTTATTAAACTTCTCTGTTATTATTTGCCACAAACGCAAGTCCCAAATTAATTCATAATTTCAGCAGCGAATGTTTTTCTGTTTTTAAGAAATATCAGGCTTCTCTAATCGTTTTGAAACTTACCAAGCATCTGGTACCCACTTGTTAAAGTCTTTTATATTTCTTGTTACGTTAAGCTCGTCTAACATGAATCCACCTTTTTTTACGGTTAATTTTAGCAAAAATAGAGAATAGCATGATGGGAAATTATAGTCATCATGTTTGTTCCTCTTTCTGTGGGCGCTCGTGTCCATAACTCAGCAGGAATTTCCAATTAAGGAGAAAAGGGCAGGTGAAAATAACAAAATTTATATAGCTATTGAGAAGAAATATGACGGATACGAGATTCAACGACAAGTTATGAACGTCGCAACTCGCCTAAGGAGTTCAATTTTAGGTCAACTTTTTTGCAACCAGCTTCTTAAAAGGCTGCATAAAAACTCCACTCCCCAAGTGGCTATAGCAGAGTGGGGAAAGAATGTTTCTCCTCGCAAAAAAAGAGAAATGATCGTCGACAGGGTGCCGTGTAAAAAATAAACACAACACTGCTACCAAACTAGTAGACTTTCTCAAAGACCGTTTCCGGTTTCTGCATGTCTAACAAACTAGTAGACTGTCCGTCAAGTTTTCATCTATTCTGACAGCTCACAGTTAAACACAGTTTAATACATGCACTGAAAACAATAATCTCGTCCGCTAGCAGTTTCTCTACCACGTGATGTGTGCCAAACAACATTTTAAACCTATTTTTGCCAGCACAAAGTTATTAAACGACATTACAAATGACAAACGCTATTAATCGGTTAGACGGCACAAGTGTCAGGTGGTAAATAAAGGAATTTCCATTTTAGTAGAAAAATTTCACAGTTTTGGAAACTTAGCAAGGTTTCCTATGCTTCTTATTTTTTCCAGCGGAGATAGAGGAGATCACATTAGATCAGATATTTAAATGCTATTTTGCGCCTTATAAATAATAAATTATATTACTTATAACCCTGTCATCGTGTCCATAAATTCACAGGAACTCATTAAGGAACATGGGTTAAGCGGCACCACAATGGATGTTTAACTGACAAACAAATTTGACTCGGACAACATGAAAAAGTAAAGTCAAATAAGGATGGACCTTCTTATAATTTCAAAAAAAGCATTTACATAATTATTTGGGGCGCTAAATAAGCCTCTTCCTCGAAGACGGTCATTCTTGGCCCTCTCGTCTCTCATACAGTAGCGGCAAGGTAAGTGACATGAAAAGTTTATTCATGTATTAAAATAAGATTAACGAAAAATGAATCCCTAGGCATGAACCCCAGTGTGCCGTTTCTTCTAGTCCACACATATTTTTTTTCCACACATATTTTTATTTTTTTCATCGCAGCCGCTTCCTCTGTTGGTTAATTTTACCCCTTTTTGATAGATTATATTGGCCAACTCTGTAAAACTGGGCTAGTAGACAACTAGTTTAAAGCTTTCCTGACTTCAAGGTACAAATGATAAATGGCAATTGATTTGGAGTATAAGGTGGTGGTCGTTATGGCAAAAAAAGGAAGAAAACAAACAAAAAATGCTATGTACAGCAAAAATGGTCTGATTTTTAAAACAAACCAGGCTAGTAAACAACTAGAGTAAAGCTTTGCTGTCCACAAAGGTACAAATGTTAAACGAAAATTGATTGGGAACGTGAAAGTGGCGGTCGCCGCCGCAGACAAAAGCAAGAATGCCAAACGGTGTAGCATATAAAACAGAAATGGTCCGGTAGTGGTGTCTTGAAAAATAAATGACGTTGATTCCTCTGGTTGTCTTGTGTAAATTTTAGCATCTCACAACGTGCTCCCTTAAACGCTTCGCATTATTCGTCTCCAGATCTTAGGAATGAATGAATTTCTGGTTCTTAGTCTTGAGGTAGGGTCAACCAGTAACATACAATATATAAAAACTCACAAACCAGTCTAGATTCTCAGTTCCCTTGATGAAATTTAGAGATAGATGGTGACGTCGTATTACTGGGTGGCTTAAGCTCACTAACTAATTTCTTTTAGGCAGCAAGAATAAGGATGATGACTTGGACAAGAAAAACAGTTTCTTCCTGCGTTTTAAGGCTATCTCTCTTTGTTGCACTATTTGGACACTGTATATCCTGCAACCACGAGTTGAAAGCCTCTAAAGACGGCGACGTAATGTTAGGTGGCCTATTCAGTCTCCAAATGGGTAGCAAATTTTCCGCAAAAGAATTTGGACGCGCTGAAGCTACCATCTTTGCTATTGACATGGTTAACAAGAATTCCAGTCTTCTGCCAAACGTGTCCATCGGTTACGACATAAGAAACTTTTGTGACAGTAGGGTACTGGTCATGCAAGAAACCTATGACTTCAAGCGTAATAGCGATCCAGTTTGTATGTGTAAATCGAACTCCTCCATGTCTACAAAGAGCAGTTTCACCAAGAGGATCGAGTCCAAGCACATCTCAGCGCTAATCGGTACTTACAATTCCGCCAGCGCCGTCCTGGTAGGAAGCCTACTTCAGGTCGCTGACATTCCCGTCGTTAGCGCAACCGCAACAAGCGTAGAACTGAGTTCCGAATATTACAAAGACTTTTTTAGGACAGTTCCCTCTGATACTTGGGTAGCAAAGGCCATGGCAGACATCATAGAGCACTTTAACTGGACATACGTGGCGGCTATTGGTTTGGATGACTCTTATGGACGGAATGGAATTTTAGCGCTGGAAAGAGAATCGTACAATAGAGAAACGTTCTGCATTGCTTTCAATGAGTTTATCCCGCGTCTAGACTACCACGACAACATGGAACAGATCGTTGCTAGAATAAAAAAGCACCGTAAAATAGGAGTGATCATCGTTTGGCTTTATGGCAAATACTTCGAAAATTTCTTCGCTGTGGCAACCAAAAAAGGCTTACAAGGAAAGACTTTAATAATGAGCGAAGGAGGCACTATCGAAGAGAGATTTCTCTCGGACCCTCGCTTCACGATTCTCAATGGGTCACTGATAATAGAGTCATACGACTATCCTTCTCCGGCATTTGAGAAGCACGTCAAGAGTATCACTCCTGCAGAAAGCGCCCAGCGCGACGAAGGATGGTGGAGAGAATTCTGGCGATTGGAATTTAACGGTTCAATGGCCAAATCGACTAATTTGGGGAATGTAACTTGCAAGGCAAATCACAAGCTGGACCAAGCACTTTCTAAGCTACGCAGCCCCTTTGTATCGTATGTTATTGATTCTGTGTACGCTATAGCATATGCTCTGGATAACATTTACCGCTGCAACGATAAACAAGGTCTTCGAAATACAGGTAGTTGTCCTTCGGTCCAGCCGACAATTAAGGGACGTGATCTTCAAAAGTATCTAAGGAACGTCAGTTTTGATGGTTTGACCGGAAAAGTGCGATTTGATAGGTTTGGAGATCCTTTCTCTGCTTTGTATAGCATCATAAACGTTCAACGTTCACCAGCAACAGAAGCACGTCTCAGAAAGGTCACGATAGGAACTTGGAACAAGGACAGCACGCCCAAACTCAAGTTAAATACATCGAATTTACGTTGGAAAACACTGTTAACTCCGGTGTCTTCCTGTTCAACTGAATGCATGCCAGGCACCCGAAAGGAGCCCACCTCGACGTGTTGTTGGGATTGTGTTAAGTGTCCTCAAGGAACCATCAGCGCCGAGATCGGATCCAAGAGCTGCACAGCGTGTGAGCCAGATACCAAGCCAAATAATGAGGGCACCAGGTGCGAAAAATTACCTATCGTAAACATCAGTCTCACAACCGCCGGAGGAATGACCCTAACAGTGGTAGCTTCCATCGGATTCATTCTCACCATGTTAGTTTGCCGCATCTATATTAAGTTTCATAACAGCCCGATTGTGAGGGCTTCCAACAGGGAGATTTCTTTTCTTTTGCTCTTTGGCATCTCAGGTCTTCATATACTAGCCATCCTTGACCTTTCTGAGTCCAGCAATATACTTTGCATTGCAGCAACTTTCTGGCGTTATTTTACCCTCAACCTCTGTGTTACAGTGCTCTTTACGAAAACGATGCGGATTACAAGCGTGTTTGGGGTCGACAAAGTTGCCCAGTTGTTTACACCGTGTTACAAAACCCTGGAAAGGCAAATCATCTTTACTTCTGTCGTGAATCTAGTCCCAACTTCTCTGTTAGGACTGTGGATGTCTACTGATCCTCCTGGGCGCGAAAAGATCATCCGTTCAGACGAGTACATCTTTCTTTTGTGCAAACCTTATTACACCAACACCGGCTTCGCACTCTTCATCACCGTTTCTTGTTACATAATTACTGTAGCTCTCTTGTGTACGTACTACGCTTTCAAAGGACGAGGCATTCCTGAGAACTTTAACGAGACAAAATACATTGGATTCTCTATGTATATTCTACTGTTGTCATCAATAGCATATTACCCTGTGGCGTTTACATTTGAGAGCTGGTACGTAACACTGGTGTCTTGCCTAACGACGTTAGTAACTTCGTTTGGTTTGTTGGGTTGCATGTTTGGACCAAAAGTCTTCATCCTCCTTTTCTGTCCACAGCAAAACACGGTGGAACACGTCAGATCGCAAGTGTGGAATTTTTCGTTTGACAGCGTAGCGGGAACAAGAGGGCCTCCCAAGCCCGTCAATGTCGGGACACCTAACCCCGCTCTAGAGCCAGAAAACGGAAGGGTTTGTACAAGTAAATTATAGTAGGCTTTAATTCCCAAGTTTACCAAACGTTGAGAAAATATATGGGATAAAATAATTTAAAGAGTCTCATCTGAAGTCGTTTTTTAACCCAAGTTACCTTTTTCGTTAGCTGAACCTTGATTAAGAGATCTTGATTGACTTAGATAGTTGATTGAGACCAAGAAGTGGTTTGTCAAGAAGACTTGGCGTCTTGGCACACATTAGACATTATGAGGTGCACAAAGAGCACAAAAATTTCCAGACAAAGATATTTCGTGATGAAAGTCGGCACACTAAGATGCACTTATTGACAACCTTGAAAAGACTTTGACAAAAGGAGCACAGGAGGGCCGTGACTAGAAAGACAGTGGCACAGCCGTAGCGGATAGTCTAACACGGACAAGGCAGAAAAATGACTGCGTGATCGGGAACAAACTAGTGGCGTAACATCTGACTGTGGCTGGAAGAATATTACCTGAATTGAACTGAACTGATCGAAATTCATGGATATAATAGCACGTAAAAACTGTCATTGCGAGATCGCAAGGATCTTTGTACAAAGTTAGCTAATCAGAGAACGCGAATTCGATTCACAGGCATGCACGCCTTGTAGAGTTGGGCAATTAAGGTGCACTAAGCAGTTGGTGGGGCCATGTTAACTTCCAAAGGTAGAACAAATCTCTGTCCTCTCAAGATCTGAAATGTGCTTGAAGTCGTTTGAGAAAAGGATAGCCTCACCAAACAAATACGGAATCATAATTCATAACTTGTTGTTTATATAGCCCTCATAGGAGGATAAGGCAAAAATAAAGATATCATGTTATTGTCGAACCCTTGCTATACAGAATTTAAATAGCGCAAAAGCTGCATTTTTAACCAACCAGCTCCTGAATCCAAAGTTGGACTGTTTAGGCGAATCTCTTTCTATGTTTTCTTTAACTTGTTTTGTTGCCCGCATTATCGTGCCTCTTTCCCACGAAATTGTGGCTGTTTAACGTTCCATAAAAGGGAGAAATTTATCTGGAAAGAGTAGTTGGTGAATAGCAAAATTGGCAGTGTATTTTTGCAAAAAAAATGTTAGACTATGGTGTGTAACTCTGTCGGGATTGGACAGAATTTGCAAAATGACGAGGTATTTATACACTACAGTACAGTATCTTTATTAAATCTCCACTACGTGGCTCTTCCGATTTAATTTACAAAATGGAACAAAGAAAGACGAAGGAGAAAAAGACTAATTTACAAATCAAATTGTTAATAATAAATGGAAAAATGGGAATAAAATTAAATTAAGAAATAGCCACGATAATATATCGTATATACTATATACATATACGTATACTTATTATTGACTTAAAAATGCTCCCACTATGACATATAAAAACTGTTTCAGTCATGCCATCAGTCACCTAGTTCTCGGTGTGACATAGCTCCAATTTTGCACCGCGCTTAAAGCTAGTGAGCGTTTTACTATTTCTTGTGCTTGCGCTTAGCGAGTTCCAAGTGTTGATAGGCCGATAGTGAAAGGAACGTTGTGCAGTGGCTGTCCTGCACATAGGAACGTCTAGATTTTCCCTGAATCTGGTATTATAACTATGGATTCCTGTTCTTTTGTTGATGTAGCTATTTATATAAGGGGGCGCCGGTCAATTCACTATTTTGTACAACTGTGTGACATCGCGTACTAACAGCAGATGTTTAATGGAGGACCAACCCAGTTCCCGCAGGACTGGTGAGATATGGTCGAACGTCCTAGTATTAGTTAAAACTCGAGCAACTAAATTTTATACAAGTTGCAGTTTATGAATGTTCTGCTTTAAAGTGCCAGACCATACAGTAGAACAATAAAAGAGCTTACTAAAAACCAAGCAATTCAAAATGATGAAGAGTACTGATTTGGAAAATAGATGCTTAACTTTGCTAATCTGACACAGAGAAGAGATAAGGAAAGAAGGAAATGTATTTACATGTTTATTAAATGTAAGCTTCGAGTTTAGTATGATACCCAGGTCTTTGACTAAGGGTACGGGAGCTAGGTTTTTGCCAAGAAAAGGGACTCTGACATCCGGAATTTTACTTAATAGCTGTCGCATTCCAAACAAAATAAGTTTGGTTTTACTAGGATTGATGAGTAGCTTATTAGTACAGTACCAGGCGGCTATGAGACGAAGATCTTCGGTGACTTTTGTCAGGCAGGAGTCAATGTCCTTGGATGAGAACGAAAGGTAAACCTTGGTATCATCGACATATGACTCGACACTTGAAAATTTGACAACGGAGGGTAAGTCATTCATGTAGAGCCTGAACGGGAGCGGCCCTAAAATGGACCCCTAAGGTACGCCATGTGTAAGGATTAGCTCCTCAGAGCGGGATGTTCCTGGTCGTGTTGACTGCATACGGTTGGTAGGGTAGCTCTGAAACCACTTCGACGCTTTACTTGACGCACCCAGCCCTTGCAACTAAAGAAGGAGTGTCCTGTGACATATGATATAAAATGCCTTGCTTAGATCGATCAGGACCATACCCTTTATCTCCTTCTTGTCCACTGCTTTGAAAATGTGACCAGAAACAAGTAGACTCAGGGTTTCGGTAGAGTGGTATTTGCGATTTCCACTCTGGTGGCGTGTGAGGTTGCCTTGTTGAGTCAGAAAGTCATTAAATTAATTCAAAGCAATCTTCTCGGTCAATTTGGAAAGTACGGGAAGTAACGGGATCGGACAGTTGTTATTTGGCATTTCATGATCTCCATCCTTAAGGTGCAACACCAGCACTGATTTCTTCCAGGCCCTAGGGAAAGAGGAGCTGGTAAACGAAAGGTCACGAGCCGCCTTCTCCCCCAAAGATATAAAAAAGTGATTGAATTCATTAGCAAGTGTATCTGTATCTTTGGTGAAGCTCACGCGACCTGTCTTGTTTGGAAGAGCGCTGCGAATGGTTTTCCAAATTGCCCCGCAGTTGTTCTTATTTTCGCAGATTTCCTGGTTATAGTATTCCCGCTCTGCCTCTCGTAACGCCACTTTCACCCTATTTCGCGGCTCCCTAAAAACTTTTCAATCCTCCTTGGTCCCCGTCTTACGCGCTCTTTGGTGCAGACAATTCCTTTTTATCATCAAATCCCTTATGTCCTCCGTGATAAATGGATTTGGTTTGTGTCGTATTTTCACTGTCCTAACAGGGGCATGGTTTTCTAAGCAAGCCAAAAACAAATCATTGAACGCATCGAGCCAATCATCAAGTGAATCCCTAAGGTTAACAGTATCCCACGGGATATGGGCGATGTCGGTTGCAAACTAGTCAGCTTTGTAGTTACGAAAGCTACGCGTAACAACGTAAGTGGGGGCTTGCTTAGGTGATTTTAGATTGATGTCAACGAAGACGAAGAAATGATCGCTTATAGTTACCTCGAGAACGCCGCTCAGTTTGGCCAGAGCAGGGTGTGAAACCATGATGATATCCAGTAAACTGCGTGATGTCTCTGTTACTCTAGTTGGTTTATCTATGAGCTGCGTAACATTTACAGTTGCGCAAAAGGAGCGCAACGCGTCTCTTCTAGGGTTTTCTGAGAGGAGATGGCAGTTTAAGTCGCCAGTTACCACTATGTCCCTGTTAAGTGATAAAGCCTGGATGTACTTGGGCATCAATTCATTCTCAAGACACGCGACTCCAATGTCATGAGGTCTATAAATAATACAAACCAGTAGCGAGAAAAGCTTCTTGTTTTGCACTTGAATCCACAATTGATGTAGGCCAGACTCGGTTATTCCCGTGAGATCCTTCAGGACTTCTACCTTCAGGACAGATTTGGCGTAGGCACAGACGCCGGCACCTGTTTTTCCAATGCGATCAAGCCTAACGATCCTGTACCCAGAAATCCCCACACTAGCATTAGTCACGGAAGAGTTGAACCAGGTGTCTGAGATGGATAGGATGTCAAAATCATTTTCCAAGGCCAACTCCCTTGTTTGAAAAAATTGTTGTCTACATTTCAGGAGCTCCGCATTAAGGTGAGCTATTTTCAAGACTTTGTTGTGGTTTTCATGCACCGCACATACAAAGATCTGTCCCTCCAAAATTCGTTGCTTACCAACTTAGTCACTTAAACTGAAGGCTAAGTTGGTTCAGGTATGCATGATCTGCATCGTTCTATAATGTCCCGATCCATAGCCAAGCGGTTAATGCCTTTACGTCCAGAGGCAATTGTGAACACATGTGCCTTTTTAACTTTTGAGTTTGTGTAAGACGTCTCTTTAGTATCATATGATAAAATGAAACTTTTTACATGGGAGTGGAAAAAAACAATTATAATGGCAGTCAATTGGCAGGTTCACCATCATCATCATTCTACGGTGTGTGGGAGAATGTTTTCCACTATAGGTTCAACATGCAGTGAATTCCACGACATAAAAAGAGAGGACTTGACAGTTTATCCTCCTTACTGTAAACAGCAAAGTTTTTTAACTCACACGATTGTACGCACCGAGCATACCTTAACCCTGTTGATTGGTACCCAGATGACCATTGACCATGCAAATCAAGCATGTTACAGCCAGACAAACTGTTAACACCGCGTTCTGTTTAAGGGAATCCAAGAAAAAGTCTTGCATTCTGAATGCCAGGCCGTGGATTCCGGTTTCCAGGTACTGGAATCCAGATTCATTTTAATATTGGATGCCGGATTCCTTGAGAATTCCGAATTCCTTGATCTGTATTCCGGATTCCAAAGCCCAGGATTCCGGATTCTGGATCACCTTACATGGGGCGACTGAAATATTTCAGGAATATTGATTGTATCATGACCAATCACAAAACGAGCAAACCTCAAAACTGCAAAGTCATTAACATTGCTGCTGGCGTTTAGTTGATTTAAGCCTGATTGGCTTTTTCTTCGCAACAAAACTCTCACTCAACATTTTGGGCGTTCACTGAAATGTACTGATGATAAGCTCAGCCTCAGTAATCATGGAATCTGCGGGGCTTTTTTAAAAATACAGAGGTACTACAAAAATAATACGTAAAATCAA